CCACCCCCCTCTTCCCCTCCTCATGACCCCCCTGCACCAGCGTGCGAGACGGGCGGGGCGTGGTCCCCGCCACGCGCCAGCGCGCCCCCACCTCCGCGACCACCTCCCCTACCCCCCTCCGAGTCGCGCATTGTTTGAGCTTCACACAGATTAGCCAGACACGGGGGGCGCAACTGTACTGCCCCCACACCCCTTCACCGTCCCCCACCTGATGCAGCTGCCCTGTCGCTTGGCCGCGGCTCACACCAACGAAACCACATAACGTCAAAGTCAAAGCAAGCAAGCCGCCCGAGGGAGGGAAGGGTGAGAGGGAGCATGACACTCCGTTGCTCTACCGGACGCCCTATCCGAAAGATGCCGCGCCCCCTGGGAAGTTGACGTGGCCCTCCTCCTCAATGTAGTTCCGATCCAGGTCAGACGGGCTCTCCTCTTGCTGATGCTCTTCTGGCGACACGGCGCAGGCACATCTACTCCGGCAGGGTGCTTCTAGCGCCGCCAGCGCGGCGGGCTGTCGCGGACGCAGACACGACACACAACTGGCTGGAAGGCGTAACGGTCCAGCGACCCCAGCGGCAATAGCCGTCGCCGTGGTAGTGTTATACGGCGCTTTTCCGGAATCGCGCACCAAATATGGCTATGGGGCTCTCCTCGGGCAGCGACATCCCGCGGCCGCGCCATAGGACGTGGTAGCGTTCAGATGCAGAGAGGCTGGAGCCATCCCGCGGGGCCCCGTTCTTCGTTCCCGGACGGCTCTTTTAGGCCATTTTAGTGCCGGCTGGACCGGCCAGTCCGCGCAGCCGGCAGGAGGAGCGGTCAGATTGGTCAGATTCCTCTCGTCGAACGTTTTCCCCTCCCGATTCACGGGTCTCCCAGCCTCAGCAGGCGAGGCTGGGCGCGGGGGCCCCACCACCGTACCGGGCCCGGTGTGGGTCAGCGGGACCCCGGCGAGGCGGGGCGACTGGGCGGTTTCGCTGACCCCCAAGCCCGGCCACACGGGCACGGCCACACCCGGCCCCTGCAAGCAAGCAAGCAGGCCCCCCGGCCTCCTGGGGCCTGTGGGGCCCCTCAGCGAGCGCCGCCGCGCCATCAGATCCGGTTCTGAGAGCCCCTCTCTATCTACACATCCATTTCTCCCAGGCGTGTCCTAGAGCTTAAGCAGCAGGCTCGCTGTGAAGTCAGCATCCTCATTAGATTAGCGGCACGACGCTCGCTCCAGTGGTGCTCCTTCCAGCGCGGGGCGCGCGGGGCGTCTGCAAGACGGCCGCCCCCCGGGGGGGCGGGAGGCGGCGTCGGGGGGCGGGGCGCGCGTCGCGGCGGTCAAAGGATAGCTGCTGTGACGCACACACATCACCAGCCTGACCGACGGCCTTCAGCAAGGGCAGGGCGAGGGGGCGAGGGGCACGGCAAGGCCGGAAATAGCCAGAGAAGCAGCACGTGGACGCGGGCCAAGCCCGCAGCGCGGCCCAGCGAGACAGGGGCCGGGGGCGGTGGGGGTGGCACGGCGGCGCGGGTCGGGTACTTTGCGAGCGCTTCAAGAAAGCGTTTCGCGCCTCGCGCGCCCACTCCGTTCAAGGAGGCCGCAGCAGCAGCAGCCCTGGGGCAGCGACGGAGGGTCGACGACCACTCGCCAGACCCAAAGCAAAAGCAACGCGCGCCTCGACGACAGACGGCCGAGGATCGCACCAGTTTTTCGCGCAAAGTGCGCGCGCCTTCTTGCCGCCATGCTGCACTGCCGTGCCGTGGCGTCGCGTGGATGTGCGCGACGCGCTCGCGGCGGGCCCTAACGGGTCCGCGAGCAGCCTCCCCGCCCCGGCCGCCCCGCTTCCCCCCGGTACGGCTGCACGGCTGCTGCACCGGGACGCGCGGCGTCGCGTCTCCTTCCGTCTGAAGGGCGGTGCGGCCGGGCACAGAGGGGAGGAAGGGCGTAACGCACGCCGCAGCGGTGTTGCCGCGCGTGGCCGCGCGCCGCGCCCTCCTCCGGGAGCGCACAGAGGGGCGGTATGTCGTCGACGGCCCCAAGTCCACCCTCCGCCCCCGGCCGATAGCCCATCACCCCCGCACCCTCTGACAGGGAGCCAGGCAGACCGCAATCGCTGACAAATCGCCACATCCGATGCCATTCCGCCGCTACGCTCCCCCAACAACAGCGCCCCGCCCCCGACCCACCCCTCGGCGTCGTCGCCCCTGCCGTTGTGCTTCCCCCCAGGGCCCCGCGGGCCCCGCTTCGCGATCGCGGACAACAGTACGGCTACCTGTTGCAGAACGACAAGATATGTCACACGGTGGACAGGAGGAGCTGCAGCCACAAAGCCAGAACAGATTCCTACAGTGGACCCTCTAGGACTCCAGGCCAGAGGAGCCTCCAGATCGACGGTGGAGCAGAGGAGGCAGATGGCCCGGCCCCCGGCCCCGGCCCGGGGAGGCACAAAGGGAGGCCAGTGGGGGCGGGGCGGGAGCACCCCGCGCTGGACAGAGGGAGGTGGACCGAACGGACCGGGCTTCAGATGGGCACAGATCAGCATTTCCATCCAAGTCCAGTCCAACTGACTAGTATAGTTGAGTTCTTCCTCTCCTTCTAGGAGCACGCCTATCGCCAACTTAATTTTAACAAAAGGCGCAGACAAGTGAATCAGACGTTATCAAAGCCCTCGCCACTCTGTCCTCGCGAAATTGCATCAGATCAAACGTTCGGAGAGTGGAGGAGCGGGGTGGTGGTGGGTGGTGGAGGGGTGGAGGTGGGGGTGGACGGTTTTCTCGCGGGCAGTAGTAACGGCTGTGTACGCCCGCCCCCCCGCCTCTCTTCCTCACTCCCCTCCTTGGCACTGGAAAATTTACGACGGTGAAAGAGATTGGCCGACATTGTAATTGAGTGCATGGCGCAGTTCGAACACGAGCCGATCATTCGCACCCTAAACCGTACAACCCAGAAGGGCGGGTCCCGCTCCCCACCCCCGCCCCCGCCGCGCCAAGCGACTAGGGGCGACAAACGTTCGCAACTGACAACCCGCGACGGGGGTGTGCGATGACAACTAACCGTCCGCGCCGTTGGGACGCTTTAAAGGAGTTTTCGTGAGTGAAAGCATCTGAGAGACAAGCACATGTCCGTAGCAATACGAAAAACGAAGTTGGAAAACAGTGAGAGCCGTGGCGAAAACAACGTCTATGACGGCAAAGCCGAAATAAATAAACATAACCTCTCTGGCGATGGATTACGGCTGATTTTTCAAACAAAATACACAATTAGAGAACGTAGGAGCACAAAAAACTTGAAAATCCAGTTGTAGGAGGTGCAACATTATGGAATTCACATTTCAACAGAAAATTAATGGCTATTGCATCACAGGAAATTGTTTAATTCCTGACATAATCCCAAAAGAGCCCCTCTGTTTGGAAATCTGGAAACTCCATAGCACTTATAAAATCTTGAAATAATTGAATGGAGTTCTCACCTCTTCTAGTTGATTCACTGATTGGCGACATTGTGGCATCCGAGAAACAAAGGTAGAGGTGGTCGGAGAGTTATAATCCTCACGGGTCTCCTCCACAAACTCATTCACACTTATCAAGCCTGGCATTGTGACGGCTCGGCTCTTTCAAACACAAACTGAGACACTGACGTTGAAGCCACGAAGGACTACATCGGAATAGATCCACACTGCACTGCACTCGTTTCAATGGACGAAAAAAAAGTCGCGATCAAGGGTACCGAACGAACAAAACAATCGCCATTTCAACTTTATCTTCGACACTTGACGTACAGAGAGACGCGGGGCGTATACGCGTACGCTGCTAACGGCTCTCGAGAGCGCAAGCCACTGATGCCAACTCGAAGCTTGCCTTGCTCCCCGAGCTCCTCCCGGACCAACAAAATGGACGGTAGACTGCGCGGCAGTCGCTCTGTTGCTCTGGCTGGTTAGCGCCTTCGCCGCTAGAGCGCGGCACGTTACGGGGGGGAGTATGGTTGCCTCTCCGTAGAGTACACCTTGCGGTAAACAAAACAAACGGCCAAACAAACAGCCGCCGTCTGCAAGCAAAGTGACTTCCCTCTCGCCTCTAGGGTATCGTTTAACAATAGTCGTAAGTCGTTTACTTGAATTTAATACTGATAATAGTCCTGCTCTTTGAGCGATTGGCACACTGTTTGACAAAGCGGGAATGCCCAACGTCTTAGAAACTGTGACCGGAAAGTAACCTGAATATTGCGTTTGACAGTTTGACAGTCGGCTGACAGCTTAAGATGCCATCGCCGGAACGGGATAGTTACCTTAATCTGTGTGACGCCAACAAAGTGCTGGTAGATCAAAACGTTCTGAGAGCCCTCTCAAATGCCAGGTAAGCATTACTGATTCGCTTCTGATTTTAACAGTTACTCATCACCCCTATGAATGAATGAAACTTATTGAACCCTATCAATTATTGCAGCTTGACATCATTAGACTTGTCGGGTTTGAGCTTAACTAAAGAAACATGTGAGATATTGGCCAAAGTCCTAATAAGCTCCACTGTGTTCCATGACCTCAATTTCACAGACTGTTTGCTTCCACCACGAGGGCTAGCATCAATCTTGAAAAATCTGTCACATGTATCCTGTCTAACATTCTTGGATCTCAAAGGAAATAATATATCAGGCAGCAGTATTGCGAAATTAGGTCAGATGCTTTCAAACAATTCATCACTGAAAAGAATCAATCTGGAATGGAACAGCCTTGGCCTTTTTCCTGAACAGTTTAAAGAATTTTGCTCAGGATTGGCTCAAAATTCCTGTTTAGAAGATCTTGATCTTCAAAATAACCGACTAACGCCTGAATGTGCTTCTATGCTAAGCAATGCTCTCTCCTCTAACTCAACTTTAAAATCTTTAGGTAAGGCAACATTTTTAAAGTACAGAATGAAACTTTAGGCCTCTAAGCAATCATCTAACATATTTGCCTTTAGATATTCGCTGGAATGAAATAGGTTGGCAAGGGGGCCAGTACATATATGATGCCCTTCAAAATAACAACTCATTAGATAGCATTCAATTACAAGGAAATTGTATACCAAGTGACCTCTCACAAGCTATAGGTAATTTTTTTTTTTTTACCAAAACTATACTTTTACTTATACATTCTTCAAACAACAATAAGACATTCTCTTACTTTTCTATTTTTACAGAGCAGTGTTCTTCTCATAACTTATCACGGCATAAAGTAATTCAAGAATGCTCCGTTCGCAATCAGCTACTTGCCAAACATGTCAGGCGTGTTGAAGCCAAACGAACTCTAGAAATTGAAAGTCTTGCAAAACAGAATGAAGAAATAATCAAGTAACAATAATGTTTTTGTGTTAAATAATTATGTTAAGTATCCATTCAAATCAAAAATTTCCTCAATCTTTTGCTTACAGGGAAACAGAGATAAGACTTAATAGTGTTGAAGAAGTATTGAATGAAAAGAATGTGGCTTTAGCAAGTGCCCAGGTTCAGATAAAGTCCCTTCAGGCAGAACTTCGAAAACAAGAGCAAACAAATGATGAGCTACAGGAACTTATGAAGGCAGAAAGAGAAGGCAAGAAATACCAAGCTGAGAGACACCAAGCTGACCTAGAAAGGATTAAAAAGGTACAACATCTTATTACCTATCCTCTATTTTATGACAAAAGTTAGGATACATCTCTGGATTCTTTCAGAAATGCAATGAAGATATTCAGCAGCTAGGCGAGCAGTTGGAAACAATGGAAAGCGATATGTTAGTTGAAAAAGGAAAAGTTGCAGAATTAGCAAAAAAGCTTATGCTAGCAGAAGATGAAGTGCGCAGTCTACAGGCAAATCAAACTGGTCTAATAGATATAGAACGGAAAAGACATAAAGGTAAATGTAGCTTAGGCAAGTCTCTAGAAATTGACTTTGCACTGTATATGTTTCATCGTAATACAAAAATTTATTGTATTATAAAGAACAAAACAAAATGAAAACTCATTCTCTTAATTTTTTCTCAAATTTATTAGATGAAATGGAATTAGCAATGAGAGACCATGAAGGAAAATATGAAAGAGCTCAAAAGGAGTTTGATGAAAGAATGAGCATATTTAAAACCGACGCCCAACGCACTCAACAGCGCTTAACTGATCGTATATCCTCCCTTGAAGCATCTATCTTTGATCTGGAGAGAAAGCTCTCAGAACAGTCCTCCCATGCAGCACATATGTCTCAAGAGCTGGCACGCTCAGCTGAGATCACAGCTCTTGCAGTTCAGGAGACAAAGGAAAAAGAGGTATGGAAACCCACAAATACCTGTCTTGAGACTCCTTATCTCATCTTCTACATACCACATATACACTTCTGGGTAATAAATTTTACAGCTGGCTCGCATGAAAATAGTGGAAGAAAACCTTGAAGCTGCACGAGATGGAAGGCTTCGAGCTGAAAAACAACTTGAAACTGTACAACGCAATATGACATTACTGCAGGAACAAAATAACAGTTTAATAGCAGAATTGGGAGAGCCACAGAGGAAACTAGCACAGTTACATGAAGTAATGCAGAGTCTTACACAGGCTCTTTTAAGTAGTACCTCTAATATTAAAATTTTTCATTAACATTTTCTTTCAATTTTTTAAAATATTTTTTTGTAGGAACTCAGTAGAGAGAGGGATAATGTTACTCGTCTTCGAGCTGAGAAAAATGAAGAAATTGCTCGTGCAGATGCCCGGAAAGCTGATGTTGATCGTTTGCAATTGGAGGTAAATTCCTTAAATCAACAACTAGTAGAAATTAAAAACCTCCGCTCTGCAAAAGAACAAAAATGGAATGAAGAGCGGGACAAGATACAGTCAGATCTAGTGCAAAAAGAGAGAGAGATTCAAAGAATAAGGTAATTTATCTACTGTGACAATTAATGTGATTGTTAAAATTTGTGTGATACTGTTGAAAACAGAATACTGAATTTCAATTGCAGATCAGATGAAGTAGAGAGAGCTGCAGCATTATACTCAGCCTTCACTAAATATTTGGGAAATGTGCACCCTTCAACAGCATCATTTCTGGTTAAATGATTAATTTCAAAGTAGCAGCACTACAGAGAGGGTGTTTTTCATTCACTGTTGTGTGAGTGTGTGTGCATGTGTGTTCTGTTTGTGTATTTCACTTGGTGCTTGCACAAGGAGAAGGCCTTCATATCCATGAGTTTCTTACTTGGAAGATAAAATGATTGAGGACCAACAAATAACTTTTCTCTGCACTTTACTAATAAATTTACAGACTGAATTATCTAACAATATATACATTATACAGCAATATCAAATTTATACAAAAGGAACTAGAAAAAGCTCTTAATAAAATACTGTATTAAGAGAGTTGATATCTTTAACCTTGTACAAAATACATCATCCTAGGCCAGTCAATTTTAGGCAAAATGAATGGTTGAGAAAAAATAGAATAAATTAATAAGTCTTTCAAATTATTTAACAGTTATTACATGACATCACTATTTTAAAAAAGAACAAACATTGCAGTATGGCAAGGATGAGTTGTATGTTTTAATAAGACTTTGTAGCATAATCTAATCAGCTTCACAGTCACTGGGAAATCTTACTTCCATTATCAACTGAATGATGCAAGGCCATTTCATGTAGCTAATTATTGCTTACTCCAAATTAAGAATAAATATCAAACGAAATAAATTGTGACTAGCTCAATATAAGTTAAAAGTAGGTCAGATGAAATGTCCCTCTCAATTGCCTTAACAGGTAATTTTACATGGAATATGTGAATTAAAAATCATGCTGATTTTACACTCAATCAATAAAAAGCACTAACAGTTGCTGCTCACATATCATGTAAAAACATCCATAAAAAAGAAGTTGTTAAATTATCACATTTTCATGATGAGACAAATATCAGTTTTGAGATATTTGAAATGCACAAATGATTCAAGAAAACACCATTGAGTCAATGGTTGAATTAAGAGTATGTCTGTCCAAACAGATTATAAAAATTGATACAGTATTTAAACACTTAGCACCTGTGTTCTTATTCATTGTTGGTTCTAGATAGATAAAAATATATCATGAAAATATAATTTTGAATCAATTTCCACTTAAGGCATCTTTAGAACAGCTTCTGTTCCCTACACAATTCATTCACAATGACCAGTAGCGGCTAAATGTGAGCTGAGCTCACCAAATTCAAAGTCCTTAAAAGGCAGTGTTCGAGAAATCAAAATACTAGATAAATAGGTAAGGAACATAACAGTGGGTGCGGCATAGCTGAAGTGCCCACCAGTTATTAATAATCCATGAATTTTCTACCCTTAACCAGTCTCAATTGTTTGACAAGGAGAATAATTACAGCTTGATTGCAAAAATTACCAGTCAAATAACAAACAGAAACTGGACATCAGGTAACTCCATTATTAAAAAGGTAAGATGAAATGTCTACGGATGGATCTCAAACAGGAAAGCACAAGAGTAAAGATACCTCAAAACTTCCCAAACACAGAATAAAATGGCACAACTTCTTAATTATCTCATGTTTGGCTTTGTACTTGTGGTTTTAGTGAGATGGAAGATTTGTCATAGAACCAAGAAACATAAATAATTAAATTTCAAAAACAATAATTTGGGGAAACAATGACAACTCTCCAAAATTTTAACAGAAACAACGCCCTTCTAAAACATGAACACATGAATTTCGGCAAGACATGTTCAAATTTACATAATTTAGTCTTAATTTAAATCACAACTTCATTATGAAACAGAATGAACATAATTTACATCCAAATGGGACTTTATATGGCATGATACCAATAAAATGCATTAAAATGAGGAGATGCTCAAGTTCATTTCATATAAGGCATTTGCTTATTTACAAAATATATTTTCATACAGACTATTATATACAATTTAATGCATTTCATTGTACATGACAGAAAGCTCCCCAAGGATTCAATTCAAATACAATATCTATTATATACAAATGTGCTCATCTCTTCAAACAAATAAGATTTCTTTAAAGAGAGATATATTGTCAGCTAATGCCTAGTTATGTCACATTTTAAGACAGTCTCAAAATTAACGAGGTACAAGAACTATACACAAGAACTGAAGATAGCTCTGGTTAGAGAGCTCTTCTTTCTTGTGCTTAATCAATTGGTTTCACTTGAGCCATGATCTTTCCCTCCCAAAGAGGAACCAGATCATTATCGTCAGTTACCTCTTCCTGAATCACTTGCATGTCCAATTCTTCACAGTTGGTCTTGAAGAAATACCTGTAAATAGAAATGAAGACGTTGTGTAAATACTTTTTGAAACATCAAAATTAAATACACCTCACACACAATGACTGATTTCTTAAGGCAAAAAATAACCTACCTATAGTTTCCTTTCTTTGGAAGGTATTCCTTGAACTGTCTTAAGGTTACAGAACTATTTGGAATTTTAGTCCTATACGGAAACTGTTCTTCACAAAAAGTGAAGACAACTGTCGTGCTGTCTTGGGTGTCAGCGCGACCACTAGCAGGCCGACTGGTACGCCGAAGAGTGGAGGGGTTGGAGTGCGGCTCACCCTTGCTGCCCACGCTGTACCTGTGAATAAAAGACGTTTAAATTAGGTCTACTTGTCGGGCGGTGCAAAGCGCAGTGCTGCGTTTCCGACTGGGCACTGGGCTTACCTGGGCCGCTGACGGTGGCTCTCGTCCATGAGCCGCCTCCTGGCCTCCTCCAGCTGGGTGGCCGTGTGCGGCTGCGGCAGCGGCGGCATGCTCGGGTCCGCCACGAAGGGCTGCGCGGGTCCCACCCCGGCGGCCCCCATGGGTCCCATGGGCCCCATGGCGACGCCCCTCTCGAGCGAGTCCGAGCGCGAGTGCGCCGAGGTGGAGCCGGCCACCGACTTGCGGCTGTGCCTGGGCGTGATGGGGGAGGTGGCGCTGGCCACGCGGGCGCGGTGCTTGGAGGAGCTCTCGCTGCGCGCGTGCCACGAGCCGTCGCCCGTCGCCGTGTGCTGCTTCTCGCGCTCGCTCTCCAGCAGCCACGAGAGCACCTTGCTGTCCTTCATCTGCGTCGGCACGCCGGGCACGGCCGACACGCCCAGCGCCGGCGGGGTGTCAGACACCACGGACACACCGCTGTCCGTTTGGTCCGTCAGCGTTTTACGGCTGACGGACCTGCGGCACGTGCCGGGCCGGTCGCGGTAACGCGCGTCCGGGTAGCCCTCCTGCTTGAGGGTCTCCACGTAGTCGGGCACGGACTTGCTCTTGGGCACGTGGTGCTTGTGCTCCGAGCCCTCCATGTAGTCGTGCACGTTGCCCGAGTCGGACGAGAAGGTGGAGAACACGTCCTTTTCTTTCCGAATGTGTCTCGAACTGTAGCTGGGCCTAGCTTGGTAAGGGTGTGGCACGGGTCCCGAGGCAGTGGGTTTGGCGGAGGGAAGAAGGGTCGATGCAGCTGTGGGTACTCGTCTTCTTGCATCTGGACTTTTCGGTCTAGGTGAACTGAAGCCGGGGGATCTGGATGGTGTAAGATCTGACCAGACCCTTGAAACATGTTGATCTGAAAGAAAATGGTTCCATTGGTTAGCTCATCTGAAGAAATCTCATGTCATATCAAAAATATACAAGCAGAAATACAATTATTATTACCTAGGATAGCTTGGTCATTATCATCTTCAATCATTAGCTTTTCCCTAAGAGCATCAGCTAGCGCACGAGATGATACAGCTGTTTCACCTACACCAGATTCCGAGCCAACTGCATCCTCACGATCCATATCATTTTCTAACAACTTCCTATCTAACTTGTCTTGAGCATCCTGTTCCTTTTTAACACTTTCTAGCTTTTGAATCAAGATAGCAGCAAATTGATCAGGCTTCAAAGAATGGGTCTGAAAAATAATTTAGAATGTAATTAAAGAACACTGTAAAACGTTGCAATATGAGAGCAGAAAACAAATGAAGGGAGTTTTAAATTAGTTACCTGATCTTTATGAAGAATTTGAGTGCGAGGAATAACGGTGCGATGAGAGAATGGATCCCGATTGATACTTGCACTCTCCTTCATCTGCCTTGAATGTCTCAAATGTTGACGTCTTGAAGTTCTAGATCTGCCAATAGATGACATTCCATCACTGAAAATCAGAAGGTAGAAATTATAAAATAAGTGCATGACAAAACCATTGAAGAATGTTTGTGGTTTAGCATTAGTATACATATAAGCCTGCATAGGGCATAACAAAGATAATAAACATCCCAACCATTTTCCCTGGTTTCAAGGATTGGTTACTTACATTGAGCTGTCGGTCAGAGACATATTGTCTGACTCAGTACGTGCATCGGAGCTTAATGATTGGAGTTCACTATCTTGGCGTGATACAGGATTGTAGGAATTGTACAACACATGAGGGTTGTTGGGGTGAGAAAGGAAAGGACTGTGGTATGGGCGTTGCAAATACATCCTACCAAAAGGAAAAAAGAAAGAAAAAAACTAAGTAAAACAAAAACAAAAAGCAGATATAAGCTACAACAAACCAAAATTTGTAAAAAATAAAAATAAAAAATAAAATAAAATAGAAGCTTGGGCAGTCTAGTGTCAAGCAAACAAAAAGTGGCACTGACTATAAGTTTACTGGCAGCTATATTTTAATATTGAAATTTGAAATATTCCAGCAACATCAACTAGAAAGACTTAACATAACAATGACAACTAAAAACAGGTTAAGAGTACATCAATCAGAATTACAGAAGCACAACTAAACTCAAGTGAATAACTATCACTGCCATGCATTCCAAATTTACTTTGATGTGTACTATAAACTATAAGCAATCAATCATAATTATTCTTACCCAGCATAAGCCTCCGGTTTGGGCTTGAGCTCTGTGGCTCTTCTTCTCTCTGTTGCCATGAGCATATCTTTAGTGAGCCGCAAGGGAGGTCCCCCATGTAGTGATGGGGGAGGCATGGAGGATGCAGAGAGAGGATTTGTTGACAGCTCTGCATCCTCATGGAGGGTGGGTAGCGGGCAGCCTCCCAAACCAGGAGGGCTGCTATTGCTCCCACTTGAAGAAGGTGATTCGCCATTATCACTTGGACCATTCTGATAAAATAACAAAAAAAGTGGTTAATACACAAACTATCATTGTCATAAAAGGTATGGAGGGATGACATAAAATGATTAATCACCTGCATAGACTGGACATGCTGAAGGTAGAGATCTGACTTTAAGAAGTTAGGATAGGTGGTATTGCTGATGAGCTGCTCAACAGCTGCCTGAACTCCATCGAATACACCAGAATGGATCTCGCCCTCTTCTTTCACTCTCCAAATTACTTCTTTACGAAGATCCTCAGTAATAGCTAGTTGAGATTTTTGTAAATATTTTCTGTAAAATGAAAATTGAGTTTACTTGTTGACCGTCAAAATAATTACCAGATCAAATATTGAAGAAAAAATGTATTGACTTTACCTGTAAATAACTTTGACTAATTGACTCACACGTTCCTGATCAGTCTGCTTTTTCAAGCCCTCACATGCAAACCAAAAATTTAATGTGTCTAACTGTCCTTCTTGTTTCAGGAAGGTACGGAATAGATCTACACCATCTGGATCTTCTAATAAATAATGTAAGTTTTGAGCCCAACGTAAATAAGGAGGGGGTGAAGGTTGCTCGTGGGGATACCTTCCTCTGATATCCCCACCTCCACAGCTACCTTCGGGCTCGAAGCCCAATGGAGCACCTAGGTCTGAAAAATAAATGTTCATAAGATAACAGTACATAAAGGTAACATTAGATAAAATGGGAACCATCAGAATGCACAAACACACCTGCCACTGTGGTGTGGCGAGACCCAGCAGCTAGGCTGGATCTGCGTGGGGTCAGCACAGGTGAATCTGTTTTTCTCTGAAAAGTCCATGGTGGCGGATATGGGTATCCTGGAGGTGGTAAGCCCACGTCCGTTTCCTCTCCTGAAAGTAGAAACAACAAATTATAATAATAGCAAAGAACGCAGATATTATTGGGTAGTTAGTTCATGCAATGATTTGTTAACAAATTAAAAATAGTGAATGTAATGCTAACCAGGAACAGGAGGTCTAGGACAATTTTCATTGAAAATTGTTGAATGACGGTGAGCACTCATTTTGACAGATGAAATTGAGGGCTGACACAGCTGGTCAGCCTCACACCACAATATCTTAGATCTTCAAACAATAACTTCATGTTGAACACCTAGCCACACCTGGAACAGAACAAAATAAATTTGTCAAGAAAAGTTGAAAAAACTGTTTTTCTGTAGGTTTTTTTTTTTTGCTAGTTACAAACATCATAATATGAAATAAGACATCTTGCATGATAGATAAATAATAAAAAGATTACATCCATAACAATAGACAAGCAATGAAAAGAAAAGACGGAGGTTTTTTGGTGAGTCACCACCATCGATCGAACTGGATGGAGCAAGCGGGAGGGGGAATTGAAAAGATGAGGGTGGAGCAGGGACGCTGGCTTGGCTGAGAAGCGACAAGAGGTAGAAAAAGGCAAGAGCTCACTACCTCCCTCTCCTCCAAAAACTGATCGATACCATAACTACATGCTGAGAACAAAGAAATGCAAGCAAACGCTAAGGGGGTCTTGATTAGAAGAGCAGAGAACAGGCCAAACAAAGGCCAAAAATCCATATGAGGGAGAACATGAATCATACGAGAGAGAGTAAGTCATAGAAAAAAAGAGGAGGGGGTTGGCATATGAAGGGAGCTCTTATTATTATATTCATATAATTTCATCATAACTCCCATTCAAGCATATCGGGTTACCCCTCACGTCCAAACAATGAAAGGAACAGCAAAAAAAGAAAGATAAGAATGTTGGGGAAAATTGCCTTTGGCATTGATCCAATACAATTAAAAAAGGAAAATGCCTAGTCTATAAGACCCCATCAGGTCAGGTATACAATCAGATGAAATCAACTGGAACTAATAGACATTAAGGCCACCCTCAGTCATACACATTCACCTTTCAAAACTGTGTACGTAAATGCATTTAATAAAGTTATGATAGGGCCGTAACAGAAACAAAACTGTGAAACTCACAATACTGCGATCCATGGCTGGTTTGAAAATTAAATAACAAACTCAAATAGCACAGAGGTATAGAAGGAGAGGACCAAACACAGCTTCCCAGGAGCAGCCCACAAGGCTTCTGTATTGACCGGTGGAACTGAGACGAATGGCTGCCAGGGGATGAGGACCAAGCCAGACCAACGCTAGCTCGCAGGAGGGGGAAAATCTGACTCACCCACTCTGCGCACTGCGCAGCCCACACAATGTAAGGAGCAAACCTACCCTTACCAAACCCCCACAACGAGAGTTCCTTCCCCTCACTCTTCTGTCGTGATATGTGCTGTCATAACAGCCCACTGCACCAATAGGGATATGATGTGAGCTGGAACTACACTGCCTCGTATAATAATGTGAAGGGACCATATAAAATAAGAAAAGAATGAGCACTAAAAATGAGCCTCAGAAGAAAACATTACTTGAAAAATGTTTTTTAACACAAAAGTAAAATAATTTTGGCCTTAAATGTGGGCATAACAGAATAGATGAGGAAAAACACATATAAGAGAATAGTTATGGCATTAATATTTTTGGCAAATGCAGAAAGAGCTTCTCGACCCAGTTCATTCATAACACATGAGAAGGTTCCTTTGTGATCTGCAGCAATTATATTTCATACCTATATTCAATAGATCTTTTGATGGATGAGAGGCATGCTGACTACCAAGGGTAGGGTGGGGGTGAGATTGGTGGCGGTGGTG